CGACGCGTGGCGCAGCCCCCAGTGACGTGGCGACGTGTTGTGCTGCCCATAGTGACGTGACGACGCGTGGCGCTGCCCGTAGTGACACAGTCCAAGTAATCGCCGCTACAGTCCACTTCATCCCCGCCCCTGTCCACGCCATCGCCGCCTCTGTCCAAGTCATTGCTGACTCAATCCACCTCATCGCCGCTATAGTCCATGTCATCGCTGACAGAGTCAACGGGATCGCCGCAACTGTCTACGGCATCGCCGCCCCTGTCCACGTCATCGCCGTCACTGTCAGCGTCATCGCCGTCACTGTCCGCATCATCGCCGTCACTGTCCACGTCATCGCCGTCACTGTCTGTATCATAGCCGCCATTGTCCACGTCATCCCCGCCTATTTCCACGTCGTCGATTAATAACTGTGTTGCTTGGGATCAGAATTCGTTGGTTGAATTATGGACATAGAATTATACGCGCGCAATATGTAAGCATATAATAAAAAGGTGCAATTGAACGGCCACATTGTTTCCCACTTTCCTCTAACATAGACTTTGTAGTATGAACTGTAAATTATAGATGCAGTGGCTGTAAATTGGCGTAATAACGTAGGTGCGTGTTGCAAATCGGTGCGTGTTAGCTCAAAAACTTGACTACGTACCGGAACTGACTACGTTTTGTGGGCGAGTCAAGTCTCGCTTGTGTGATTGTGGTGTAATGCTGTCATCGCGCCCACGACGAACTGCGCTTTGTAGGCCAGTCATCCTTCGTTTGTATGAGTATGGTGCAATGCTGTCATCATCGCGCCCACGACTAGATTTACTGTCCTCTTTGTATGATCCCAATGTGATTTTTTGCATGTGCGCGTGGCTGTAAATGAATGCAGACTTCGTTGGGCTGCAAGTACATCGCGCCCTCTGCTTGGCGCGAGCGCATCTTGACGTTCGTAGCTGTACATTGGCAGGTTGAGCGCTTTCGCAATCCTTGATTCTGTACCAGGCGTTTCTTGAGGTGGGTGGGATTTTCGAAATTGGAAACAAGGGGCGCTCTCCAAGCACCCCCAGCAAGTTGCAAACGCCCCAAAAGGAGTGGTAACCAATGCAATGTACAGATTGTGACAAGACTCTGCAAGGAGGCTGCAATGCAGTCGTCATTAGGTTTTGCCCCAACAAGACCCTTACCTAACAAAACGCGGTTGGGAGCAAAAAAAGTCGCGCATTGCTATCCAGCGAAATTTAGACGTGCGTAAAAAACCGTTCACGTGCCTCAAGTCGAGGATGAGCCGCTTCTTGGTCGGTTGTGCGACTACGTTCAACGGACTAGAACATGTATTTTCTGTTCGAGACGAAATAGCGCGTGCCGCCCCCGTGGCTACAAGCTCGGCAATTGCCTCCGTGGTGAAGTCTATATGCTGGGCCACGCCAGGGTGGTTTGGTGCACGGCGAGGTGTGGGCTCGGTATTCAACCATGGTAACTGATAACCGCGCGAGATGATAGAAATTATGTAACTGATGTCACACCACATGGACCACCATGTTACGCAACCTCGTAACCGACCGCGCATATAAGTTTGGGTTGGATGGGAAAGCGCGGAGCGGGTAAGTGTGCCTGGAGGATGGGTGTCCGCAATTCAATGCAAGAAAGTATATGTGTATATCGGGCTTGCCTTACGTGGCGAGGAAGATATAAGGATAACAAGCTTCATTTCAAGCATTTAACATGTAAAGCAATTCTCCCTTTATCAAATCTTATAAACTGCTCATCATTAAACATTTCCGTGTTCGCCAAAAGATGTCTCTTTCAAGAGATGCAAAGCAAACAATCAAACTATGCGCGCAAGCTGATTCGCCCCTTGCTCGCGCTGGGGGCATTGAGCAAAGCCATGGTCCGCTTTGCGGCAAATGAAACAACGTCCATCCCCGTCGCGACACCACTTGTTCCAAGAGCGGTCACCATTACCCCTGCCGCTGTTATTCTGGTTGAACCGCTGTGGGAAGGAGGGGTTACGATTGGGGCGACTCTTTTTCATCGACGCCACAATTTGAGCGGCGGATTTCACCGTTTTGTCCTCAACGACTTCCCCGTATTTAATCTTTAGGGCCACATTGGCCACGTCAAAACCGCGTTGGTCGGCGGTAAATAGGAACATAATCTTTTCCTCGGCCTCTTGTTCGATCTCTTTAATATAGAGGGCCGCTTGCTCGCTTCCCTCGGAGGGCAAAACACTCAATGCATGACGAGCAATAATTTGAATCATTTCAAAACCAAACATTTGAGTACGAACACCGTCGCTCTTAACGAGTGCAGATCGCAGTTGGGGACGTGCTGGGGGAATTGGAATGAGCGTTGATGAGGAGTGCGGAGGATGAGCGTGCGGGAGGGAGCGAAGGCCGTTACCTTCGTTCGCTTCCTTGAAAATGCCGTGCTCGCCGTCCTCCTCTTCCGCGGCCGCCTCGGGAGCTTCGACATGGCGAGTTGCTGGGCGAGGATTTCTGGAGGGGCCGGCCTGCCGTTGGCGTGAATGCGCTGGAGCATCGCCAATAGCTCCGACATGTGGTGGAGAGCGTCGACATTGTGTGGCGGATTATTGAGATGCCGATAGTCCGTATTGTCACTCCGCGAGGGTGTAGCTCGAACGTTCGCCGGCGCTGGAGAAACGGGGCGCTCTAAAACGCGTCTGCCTGGGACTCCAGAAAGTTGCGTCAGGATCTGGAGAAGATTCGCCTGGGTAGATTCGTCGAGATTCCCCAGCATCGTGGCGAAATCCGGGCGAGCAGCAGCAGGCGCCGTCCCGATTTCGTCAAGATTCTGCTGCAACGGGCGTCGCGAATTTTTGCCAGGCGAAATATTCGCCACACGCGCTGATGCAGCAGGTCCTCGAGGCCCCTGCTCCTCTGGCGCGTGCCTTTCTCGGACTGGCGCACGTCCCTGAGGGGCCTGTACAGTTTCAGCCGCGGGCCCACGCTCCACTGTCGCTTGCCTCTCCTGGCCTGACGCGCGCCCCTGAGGGGCTGTAACAGTAGCTGCCGCGACCACAGGGCGGTTATCCTGGATGGAAAATCCAGGCGATCCATCATTGCGATTGCCGCGATTTGCAGCAAGGGCTTCGACATTTCGTCCCTGACGAAATTCTGCTCCCGCGTCATTCGCGCTGGCAGGATCACGGGATCTTGCACGAGATCCCTGCTGAGGGCGTTCCTCGGGAAGATTGCTACGTGCGCCCGCCGGGGAAGTTGGAGCACGATCATCGTCGTTTCGACGATTCGCTCCGCGAACTACTGCGCCAATTAAATCGAGCGCTGTTACTGCTGCGCGAGACTCATTTCGTGGCGAACGGGACCGGTCCCTCCCAGAAGTCGAAATTCGATCATCTTCTCGCCGAGGGGACCCACGCCGAGAAGAACTCCTGGTATTAATTCGAGCAGCGGGAGGACGTCCGTTAATAGCGGAAACGAATCCGCTCGCCATCTCGTTAAGTCTAGCAGTAAGAACGTCGTTGAGCAGGGTTGAGGGTTGAACAGATCTAGATCTCCGCATAGGAGGAGTGTGTGTGCCAACTCAAAATGAGATGGATGAAATGAGACTAGGTTGCAGGTCTGTGGACTTGCCGAGGGATAAGAGGGGAATGCCTTATTGCATTCCCCCTTTCCGAATCTTGTCACAATCATTAAATTTAGAAATATATTTCTAAATTATTCATTTAATTAGCAATGCGCGCTTTTTTTGCTCCCAGCCGCGTTTTGTTAGATAAGGGTTTCGTTGGGGAAAAACCTAACGAGTTGACAGGAAACCTTCACCCCCATCCAACCAGCCCCAAGCCAACCCACGACCCTAACTCACACATCACACACAAATACACCACCCACCCACGACGATCTACTCAATTCTTTTTCGAAGCTAGTTAGTTAATTCTCTAGTCTCTACTACTAGTCTAAACTCTAACTACTGCACGCCGTCGTGGGCGCCTGCCTTGCCTTTTCTTGCGCTGCCGTCGTTCCGCATTGCCATCTGCCTTGCTTTGCTGTCGCCAGACGCGGTTTCGATGCCTTGTGGCAAAAGAGGCCATTTCGTTGCTGGCGCGCCAATCAGCGACTATTACGTTGATGGCGCGCCAATCAACCGTTCATTCACTGCTGGCGCGTAAATCAGCCGTCGATTCATTGCTGGTGCGCCCGTGAGCCATTGATTCACTACTTGCGCGCCAAGAGCCGCTGCTTCGCCAATGGCGCACTAAACAGCTGCCGCTTCAAGTGACCGCGCCGTGACAGAAGCTGGCGACTCATGGGGAGCGACGATAGCACTGGCGCACTAGATCGGTCGATCGAGACGCAGATGCCACGCTGCTCACGCGGATGGCGCGCTGCTGTGGCATCTCCCGTTTCTTTTCACAAACGCAGGCAAGCAGCCGCGTCGCCATCGGCCTTTTGCTTTGTCGCTCCCCATGCTTTGAGCTCTTGCTTTCCCGTGCTTTGAGCTCTTGCTTTCCCGTGCTTTGAGCTCTTGCTTTCCCCTATTTTGAGCTCGTCGCTCCTCATACTTTGGTCTCGTCGTTTCCCTAATTTTATCTCGCCGCTTTCCCTGTTTTCATATCGTCGCTCTCCCTGGTTTTTATCTCGTCGTTTTTCCTGTTTTTATCTCGTCGCTTTCCCTGTTTTTATCTCGTCGCTTTCTCTGCCTTTATCCCGTTGCTTTCCCTGTTTTTATCTCGTCGTTTCCCCTGCGTTAAGCTCGTCGTTTCCCCTGCGTTAAGCTCGTCGTTTCCTCCAACTTCATCTTAAGCTCGTCTTTTCTCCCTCCCGTTTCCCGCATTCCTCGCCTGCAGGACGCGGCCATTGGAGCCCTTGTGCCGCCTGCTCTTGGCGCGTGTGAGATGCCAAGGGGGGGGGTCTCTTGATGCCAAGTGTCGGCGCCTGAAGCACGCTCCTGCGGCCTGCTCACGACGCCGTTTGAGTGCGCTGCGCTGCACATGGTGGGTCGCACGTATGTGGCGGCTGCTGCGCTGCTGGCCTCCGCGGGCTATGGGGAGCGCGCAAGGCCAGCAGCGAGCGTCGTCGCTGCGGCACGCTGTGGCTGCTGCTGGCGTCGCCCTCGTGGTGAGTCCCGCTGTCCGTCCCATCCCCCCGCCCCTCGCAATGCCTCTCTCCCTCGCACTCCGCCCGTCAAGGCTTCACCCCGCCCTATCCACTACGCCTGCCCCCTCCCTCCTCGCAGGTGACAGCCCAGCCGTGGGGTGGGGATGAAGGGTTTCGGCGCTGTGTGATTGCTGCTACCAGCTCTCATTGCTCGAACTGGCCGTGTTCGGGCAGCGCGCAGCGGCAAGCGCGAGCGAGCAGCGGCGAGCGGCAACTGCGGGTCAAGCGCTGCTGGTGCGCCACACAGCGGATGCTTTGCCGCTGTCGCGGCTGATCCGAGCGACACGCGGACAGCGGCGGCGAGGGCGACACGCGGGCAGCGGCGATGTTGGGGTGAGCTCGGCTCGTTTTCACCTCTGTCCCTTCCCCACTCACCTCTGTCCCTTCCCCACTCACCTCTGCCCCTTCCCCACTCACCTCTGTCCCCTCTCCACTCACCTCTGTCCCTTCCCCACTCACATCTGATTCCACCACTTACCTCTGTTTCCCCCAATCACCTCTCACCTCTGTTTTTTTCCCTAATCACCTCTCACCTCTGTTTATTCCCCAATCCCCTCTCACCTCCATTTTTTCCCTAATCACCTCTCACCTCTGTTTTTTCCCTAATCACCTCTCACCTCTGTTTTTTCCCCTAATCACCTCTCACCTCAATTTTTTTCCCTAATCATCTCTCACCTCTGTTTTTTCCCCAATCGCCTGTCACCTCTGTTTTTCCCCCAATCACCTCTGGTTTCCAATTCACCTCTGTTTTTCCCCTCATCTCACCTCTGCTTTCCCCCATTCACCTCTGCTCCCCCCCATCCACCTCTGTTTTTTCCCCCACTCACCTCTAGTTTTCCCCTTTCACCTTTGTTCTTTCCCCAATTCACCTCGGTTTTTCCCCCTTTTCACCTTTGTTCTTTCCCCCACTCAGCTCTGGTTTCCCCCATTCACCTCTGCTTTTCCCCTCTCATCTCACCTCTGTTTTTCACCAACTCAACTCTGTTGTCCCCCGAATCACCTCTGTTTTTCCCCAGTCACATTTTTTTGTTTCCCCCAATCACCTCTATCTTTTCCCACATCGCCTCAGTTTCCCCATTCGTCTCTGTTTTTTCCTTCCCATCTCTCCTCTGATTTCCCCCATTCACCTCTGGTTTTCCCGTTTCGCCTTTGTTTTTTCCCCCACTCACCTCTCGTTTTCCCCAATCACCTCTCGTTTTCAACCACTCAACTCTGATTTTCCCCCTGCACCTCTGTCTTTTCAACCTCTCACCTCTGGTTTCCCCCTTTCACCTCTGTTTTTTCCCTCTCATCTCGCCTCTGTTCTTCCCCAATCATCTATTTTGTTTCCCCCAATCACTACTATCCTTTCCCCAATCACCTCTGTTTCCTCATTCACCTTTGGTTTTCCCCCATTCACCACTGGTATAAACCTTCAACCCCCCTGGATTTATGGAACAAACCTTATACCCCCTGCATTTCTGGTTTTGACCCCCCCCCCCCCTCCCCCCCCCCCCGTTGTTTGGGCTTGGAGATTGGGGCCTAAACCCTGCTTTATAATATCTCTAGTTGGAAGTCCAATTTGACCGCATATGCTCCGATAAAAATGCATTTGACCCCATATCCTCCCATGAAAGTCCATTTTGACCCCCCTGGAATATCGACTTGGCCAATTTGGAACGGTTTTGGGTGGTTTTGGGGTAGGGAGACTTAGGGGGCTAAAAACAAACGCTTTGTAAAATAAAGGTGCACAACACAACCCATCATTCCAATAAGGGTCATAAAAACGATTGACACTTGTAAGCTTAGGGGCTGCCTGTCACGGCTCCCGGGGGACCCCGCCCCCGCGGGCCCGCGCCCGCTCCCGGGGCCCTCGCCCCCGCAAGCCCGCGCCCGCTCCCGCCGCCCCCGGGGAGCCCCCGCCCCCGGGGGGCCCCCGCTCGCCCCCGGCGCCCCCGCGGGCCCGCGCCCGCCCCCGGCGCCTCCGGGGGGGCCCCCGCCCCCGGCGCCTCCGGGGGGGCCCCCGCCCCCGCGGGCCCGCGCCCGCCCCCGGCGCCCCCGGGGGGGCCCCCGCCCCCGCGGGCCCGCGCCCGCCCCCGGCGCCCTCGGGGGGCCCCCGCCCCCGCGGGCCCGCGCCCGCCCCCGGCGCCCCCGGGGGGCCCCCGCGCCCGCGGGCCAGTTGTTACCGAAAAAGCGATCTTTTTCTCTTTTCTTGGTCTGTTGCGTATGCCCACCGATATGCGTCCACGTTGACAGATGGGGAATCCGACCACGTCTGACCCGGGTATGACCTAACGCCTCAGTCTGGGTCTGGCTGTCCCACCACGGATATTAGCCGTTCAGTCCCTAACTCAAGGGGATCCCTCACTGGGGGAAAAAGTTTCACCGTCTATCTGGACCAGCACCGATCAGCTATTGTTAGGTGCACACTGGGAACGATTGCAGAGTCCTTTATAATATCAACGGGGAGATACAGAGTAACAGCGGAAAGCGAACCATTAAATGATTATCTTACTCTCAGAATGGCTCTACTCTTATACTACGGGATCCGACTATTCTAATAGACGGTTATTCCGTTCCCACATGCGGCTTGAGTAACCGCATGTAACATCCGTGCATCCTCGTTGCATTCGATTTGGCAACCGTTTCCAACCTCCTGCCGTTTGGACTTCCTCGGTTGATCCTGCATGCATCCGAACCGGCTGATTCATGCCCATATCGGTCCAAGCGGCTTTAGCAACCGCAAGAAACCTTCGTTGACTCGGGAATATGATTCGTCGCGGCAGACCAATTGCCGTTACAGTTGTAACTCCCGCCGCTTGACGATGAAGGAATTGACGATGAAGAAATTGACGATGCAAATGAAGAATGACCTCTGAGTCGAGCCCTCCCTTCTTATAGAGCTCTATTCTCTCCCTCTGGGGCTCTGTCAGATGGGTTGGGGTTGCTAAAGGGTCATTTGGAGGTTGCGGCTTGGGGAGTTGGTGCATGGCGGCTCGGACGGTTATGTTTCGGGCTGTAGGATGAAGCTCGTCTTATCCTGGCGATGGCGATTCGGGGCGGTTACGCCTCGGGTTGGCAGATGAAGCGTTGTAGGGCGAGGGGTGAAATCCTGACCCTGTAGATGCTTTGTCGGTTAGCGAAATAACGGCTCGTGGCGGTTGCGCTTCGGGCTGGAAGTGGAGTCGTTGCGAGGTAAGGGGTGAAAGCCTAATCCCGGTGACGGCTGCTTGAGGCGGTTGCACTTCGAGCGCGGAGATGAAGCGTTGCGGGATGAGGGGTGAAAACCTAACCCCGACGATGTCTTATCAATTTTAATGATGGGCCAGGGGTGATTCCCATACCCCGTCTTCTCCTGAGGGTTGCGATGCTAGGCCAGGGGTGAAATCCGGCCTTGAAGAATTCCCTTTAGTGAAATGATGCCACGATGTTGGCGGTTTGCAGATGGAAGCGATGTTGGCGGTTTGCAGATGGAAGTTGAGTCGTCTCGACTGCTAGACTAGGAGTGAAATCCAAAGCTCTGGCGGTTGTAGATGGAGGTTGACACGATTCGGCTGAGTGAAACCCGATGCTCTGGCAGTTGCAGTTGCAGCAAGGTGGTGGTGCATGAACAATCAGGCGGTTTGGTCTCGCTCGGCTGTAATTGACGGTTAACCTCTCGGTTGACTCGTGACCCAGTTGTTGCAGTTACTTCTCCGGCAGTTAGTCGCGTCGGGGTCGCATGGAGGATGTGGGTGTTGAATCGTTATCCTCCGACTGTTCCTTCAGCCAATTGTCACGTATGCTGAAGGCTTTGGTCTTGATCACCCGAAGTTATTAGCATCTGGCCGATCGCGTCTCCAAATTACAACTGGATTTGGAGAAGCGGTTGGTTGACTCTTGGCTCCTCCTTTGTTCCGTACTGGGAATTCTCTCTTTTTATTGAGAAGCGGGTTTCATCGCCCGTCAAGGGCTAATTTTCTCGAATGGAATCTTGCTTGTCAATAACTGTCGGTTGTACCCCCGAGTAGATCCGACTGCCTCATCGCAGTGGTGATGCAGGGTCGGACGTTTGGGACGATGAAGCGACGCCCGACCTGAGGACCCTCTTACTGGCGGGATCCTTCCGACTCCTCTTCTTTGTTAGGAGAAAAGTCAACCGTCATGAACGAGGGAAGGACAGTTCGACTAAAGGCGTCGACGTTTCGGTGAGAAGCGTCCGCCTTGTACTGTATCTCAAAATCGAACTCTTGCAGACGAAGGCTCCAACGGGCGAGCTTCCCTGTGAGGTCATGGGATGTCCACCACGTGTTCCAGGTTCTGGTCGTCGCGTTGAGCGAGAATGGCGCCCAATGCCTCGGCAGAGAAGTCAGTCTGGAGTTTGAAGGGCTTTGTGAAGTCGGGGTAGACGAGGATCGGCGTGCTGGTCAAGGTGTTCTTAAGCTTGTCAAACGCCTCTTTGCAGTCGTCGGTCCACTCGAACACCGCGTCTTTCTTGAGCACTTGGTTGATGGGGTTGGCAATCTTGGAAAACCACCCGGATAAATCGCCGGTAGTATGAAGCGAGGCCGAGGAATCCGCGGACCTGCTTCACCGTCTCTAGCTGCTGCCAGTCATGAACGGCTCGAATCTTCTCTGGGTCGGGTGCCACTCCGTCCCAGCTGATTATGTGCCCCAAATATGGTCTTATCGAACCCGAAATTGCATTTATTGACCTTGAGCAGGAGAGAGTGCTCTTGGATTCGGCGCATAGCGAGCTTGATATGGCCGAGGTGCTCCTCCCAGGTAGTCGACCAGATGACCGCGTCGTCCAAATAAGCGATAATGAACGACAGGTCACTGAAGACTCACATGATGAATCGCTGCCAGGTAGCAGGCGCTTTCTTGAGTCCGAATGGCATGCGAGTGAACTCGTAGAGCCCATTCGGTGTGACAAATGCTGTCTTGGGGTTGTCTTGTTCGGCTACCGCAATGTTGCAGTAGGCCGACTTGATGTCCAGGATCGTAAAATATCGTGCCCCTCGAAGCCTGTCCAGGATCTCATCGATCCTTGGGAGGAGAAACCGATCCGCGCTCTTGGTGATCGCATTCAGCTTCTGGTAGTCGATGACGACCCTGATCCCGAAGTCCTTGTTTGGTATAACGAGGCAAAGGGCGGCCCACGGGCTATGTGATGGCCGGATAACCCTTGTTCCAGGAGAGTACGGACCTCCTTCTCGATCAGCTCTCTTTCTGCTGGGGCTGCGCGGTAGGGCTTATGTGCTATCGGGTTCTCGGTGGTCGTCTCGATGTGCAGCTGCAGGTGGGGATAGAGTCCTATCTGCTCCGCCTTGGTTGCAAAGATTGGCTGGAATTCGGTTAACAGCTCCTTGAGCTGTCCTTTCTGCTCTGCATTCAGCTCTGGTCCGACCGGGGCTGGGATGTCGGGGTGGACCGTCTCATGGTCGTCTGCTGGACCTTGAGTCTTGAGAGCATAATAGCTGTCGAGCAGGATCGTATCGGAGTCGTCCTGTCTCATGTCACCATCGGGATCGTCGGGATAATCCACATACTCGTCGTCCCAATCAGCTTCAGAAGCATCGGACCCTGAATCAGAAGCCTCGTTGTCATCCAGGTGCTCCAACGCCATGAACTGGGAATGACTGTCGGTCGTCTTTCCACAGACGATCGGAATGGTTTCGACCTCTTGCGGGTTGAGCTGATACGTGAGGGTTTTGTCGCCGAAGTTGATGGAAGCTCCGGCGGGCACCAACCAATCGTTGCCGAGGAGCATGTCATAGCTAATTGCTCTGGTCACCGGCACGTCGATGGGGAGGGTCAACGACCCCACTTGAATCGGGACGTTGCGGAGGACGGCCTATGGCTTGGACTTGTCTCCACTCGATGTCATGAACTCGATGTTCCATTTTTCCAGGTAGTCGAGCAGTCCGAGCCGTCGAACCACCACGTGGGACAGGGTCGTGGTTGACGCTCCGGAGTCGACTATCGCCGTGATGCTGTGCCGGCCTATCTGCATCGGGCACTGAACAACTGAATACGACGCCATATTCAGCTTTGGGGTTTCTTTCTGCACCGCATACGATGGCTGAGCGTATACATTAGTAGCCATCGGGGTGCTGGCTGATGGTCCGGAAACCGGAGGTGCTGCTGCATCATCGGGTAGCGTCTGCAGCACCTCGATCAGCTCCTTGCGAGCACGAGAGCAATCGCTCAGGTAAATCCAAAGACTGATGTCTGCCTTGGTTTTCTTCAGTTGTTCGATGGGCAGATATCGGGTGGTCGGGTCGCTGGAACGAGAGACGAACCGTCGAGCAGGCGCCGATTCTGCTTCGGCACGACGGCGGATCTCTTCCTGCGCTTCCTCCACCGTCCATCCCTGAGGGTGTTGGATCGGGTTCTGTCGGGTGCGTTTGGCTCCGGTCAGCGCGTAGGCCTCCGCATCGGCCTCAAGGAAGGCAGCTATGGGGGATTTCTCCGCCATGGTCTGCATCATATTGCTCGGATGGGTCATTCTCATGTTCGGGCATTCACGGGCGAAATGTCCTGGTGCCTTACAGACGTGGCACGTGATCGGGCCGGTCTTCCTATCATAAGTCTGTTGTTCCGGAGGACGACGGGACTGGTCCATGAGGTGAATGCGCAGTTTCTTCATTTCTTCTGCAAGAAGATCTGCTCCATTCTTGGGCTCCTCTTGGAACGAGACCTTTTTATTGTCCTTGGTGGGCCCATCATACACCGAGAAGTATTGGATCGCCTCTTCTACTTCAGCCAAGGTTTTCGGAACCTTGGAGAGAATCCGCTCGAGCATGACGGTGTCGGTTAGTGCATTGATGTAGTGGCGCACGGTCCCAAATTCGGTGTATTCCTTCAATCCCGAAGTGACTTGCCGAAAGTGATCCAGGAGGCCTAAGGCGCTCTGCCCCGGTATGCATATAGCCGATGATGTCACTGTCGGCGTTGGACATATATCGTTTTCTGAACGCCTTCTTGAAGGCCTCGACCGTCTTGAAATCCTGGGCTTCGGCCCGTATGAGGGGGCTACCGTTCAGGGTGTTGAGGATGATGTCGATCTTCTCAACTTCGGGTGATCAAGTCCGAAGCCGCTAGCATACGCGACAATTGGCTGAAGGGACAGAATTAGTCGGAGGACAACGATTCAACACCCACATCCTCCATGCGACCCCAACGCGAATAACTGCAGGAGAAGTAACTGCAACAACTGGGTCACGAGTCAACCAAGAAGGCCGATCGTCAATTATAGCCAAGCGAGACCAAACCGCCTGACCGTTCATGCACCACCACCCTGCTGCAACTGCAACTGCCAGAGCATCGAGTTTCACTTCTGATTCGGCAGCCGAATCGCGTCAACCTCCATCTGCAAAAAGGCAACATCGTGGCAGTATTTCAACCAAAAGAATTCCACAAAGCCGGATTTCACCCCTGGCCTAGCATCGCAACCCTCACGAGAAGACGGGGTATGGGAATCACCCCTGGCCCATCATTAAAACCGACAAGACATCGCCGGGGTTAGGATTTCACCCCTCACCCCGCAACGACTCAACTTCCACCCCGAAGTGCAACCGCCACGAGCCGTTATTTCGCTTACCGACAAAGCATCTATAGGGTCAGGATTTCACCCCTCGCCCTACAACGCTTCATCTGCCAACCTGAGGCGTAAGCGCCCCGAATCGCCATCGCCAGGATAAGGCTTTCACCCCTTGCCCAGCGACGCTTCATCCTACAGCCCGAAACATAACCGTCCGAGCCGCCATGCACCAACTCCCCAAGCCGCAACCTCCAAATGACCCTCTAGCAACCCCAACCCATCTGACAGTGCCCCAGAAGGAGAGAATAGAGCTCTATAAGAAGGGAGGGCTTGACTCAGAGGTCATTCTTCATTTGCATCGTCAATTTCTTCATCGTTTATTCCTTCATCGTCAATTCCTTTGAGAGCTACCCAGCTCGCAGTTTCCCAAGTCAACTTTCGTTCTCATGGAGCTCGATCGTCCCGACTCACCACTTTACCTGGTCGCCCCAAGAGAGCAACCCGACCACGGGGACCTGACACCTGTGGATTTGAAGCAGAAATTTGGGTTCAACGTCATGATAGTCGACACCTCCGAACTTGGGGGCCACGTAGATCTCCCCTCCGATGATCAAATCGAAGACGGAGAAGTTCTGTTTGACAACCAAGGACGCCCAGCAACCAGCTACAGCAACTGGGTCAAAGGCGAATGCAACAAACCGGTCTATCGTACGTTCCCAATCAGTTTCGACTGGGTGCCACTGACCGTGTTTCCAATCGACTTCGATGAGATGCCGATAGCCGGACTCCCGATCAACTTCGACAAGATGTCAAAAGCTGTAATTCCACCTAGTTTCGACGGGACGTCGAAAGCTTAAGCGGCTGGAGTTACAACTGCCGCGACGAATCATATTCCCGCGTCAACGAAGGTTTCTTGCGGTTGCTAAAGCCGCTTGGACCGATATGGGCATGAATCAGCTGGTCCGGATGCATGCAGGATCAACCGAGGAAGTCCAAACGGCAGGAGGTTGAAAACGGTTGCCAAACCGAATACAATCGACTACAGCGAAGATGCACGGAGGTTACATGCGGTTGCTCAAGCCGCATGTGGGAACGAAATAACCGTCCATTAAAATAGTTAGATCCTGTAGTATAAGAGTAGAGCCATTCTGAGAGTATGATAATCATTCAATGGTTCGCAAGAGTAGAGCCATTCTGAGAGTATGATAATCATTCAATTGTTCGCTTTCCGTTGCTACCTTGTATCTCTCCGTTGATATTATAAGGGATTTTGCCATCGTTCCCAGTGTGCACCTAACAATAGCTGGCCGGTGCTGGTCCAGATAGACGATGAAGCCTATTCCCGAAGTGAGGGATCCCCTTGAGTTAGGGACTGAACGGCTAATATCCGTGGTGGGACAGCCGGACCCAGGCTGAGGCGTTAGGTCATACTCGGGTCAGACGTGGTCGGATTCCCCATCAATCAACGTGGACGCATATCGGTGGGCAAACGCAACAGACCAAGAAAAGAGAAAAAGATCGCTTTTCCGGCGCCCCCGGGGGGCCCCCGCCCCCGCGGGTCCGCGCCCGCCCCCGCCGCCCCCGGGGGGGGCCCCCGCCCTCGCCCCCGCGGGCCCGCGCCCGCCCCCGCCGCCCCCGGGGGGGGCCCCCGCCCCCGCCCCCGCCGGTCCGCGCCCGCCCCCGCCGCCCCCGGGGGGGGGCCCGCCTCCGCCCCCTCCGGCCCGCGCCCGCCCCCGCCGCCCCCGGGGGGGGCCCCCGCCCCCGCCCCCGCCGGCCCGCTCCCGCCCCCGCCGCCCCCGGGGGGGGCCCCGCCTCCGCCCCCGCCGGCCCGCGCCCGCCCCCGCCGCCCCCCGGGGGGGGGGGGGGGAGGGGGGGGCGCCCCCGCCGGCCCGCGCCCGCCCCCGCCGCCCTCCGGGGAGGGGCCCCGGGGGGCCATTTCGCTTTTCTTGACGCAATTCTTCATCGAGTACATTGACGATTTCAACGGAGATCGCTTAACCCACAAGAAGAAGGCACCTGTCCTCGTTTCCAGCTCGACGCATCACACATTGGACTAGTCGTGTAAGGAGACAGTAATGTTTAGGGTTTTGTTTTTGATGCAGGAGCTCTCAAACACCATCATTGTTCACATCGGCGGTGTTGTTAACCCTGTGAACTTTCCGTGGTTCAACGTCGTGATCGAAATGTTCAAAACAACATTCCGTTCCCGCTACCTAGGCTTTGTCACCGGGGACGCCGAATGGCGTGCCAAATGATTAATGCCTATAGTGGCATATGAGAATATGTTAGTATGGGTTGGTGAGTCTTGGCGTGAAACACCAGCTTGGGCGATGCATCTCACCTGGGCCCGATCTGGCGTTATGCCCATGGCGTGGCGCACGCTCCTCCACCTCACGGAATATCCCCCAATGGCCGTCACTCGTGAGCCCCTCATTCAACAACTGGTCCAGCTGCAGGTCTTTATTAACCGCTTTTCGAAGGGGGCGATTGGCTTCATGCACACAACGGACTACGTTGCTTGTGACGAGCGCCTCCTGTCGGTCATTGGTTGACCCTCGGGCGTTGCGGCAATGATTGCGGGTGCGCCAACGGCTCCGGATTCGATGCCTGAAGGTCCTATTTATCGCGACCTGCGATGTCGCCGAAGCGTGGTGCGAGCAGTGACGCAGGCGTACGTTCGCACTGCGGCGGAGATAAGCATTAGTCCGCGCGACGTTCGTGAACGTGTTGGGGTGGAAAACGACGAAGTTGTCAAGCGGCTCCGTCGAACCTCCATTAAAGGCCAGCGCCGTGTCAACCAGCGACACGGGATTTCCCTATGCAGTGACAGCTCTAGCGGTGACTTTGATGGCTTGCTGTGCACAAGCTCGCCCCTTGTTTCTTCTGGTAGCGGGAACAACTTTTATGTTCGGGTGGGCTGAGTGTGCTGCAACTTTTGTGGTTGGGGTTGCAAAGTACGGCCAACTTTTGAACCGCTTAACGAATCTGACACTACCATGCTACTTTGGCGCAATCCCTAAACCTCGTACAATTATCACAGGAGTCGGCTTGAAATCAACGGTGTACCTGTTGAGTTGAGCGAACTCCTATACCTCGTAGTTTACTGATGGTGGCATGAACTCGCTCAACGCAAGTGACATCGGCCAGCTCGACGTGTAGGATGGATGTGATTGGTGAATTTGGATTCGCGGTTGGTATGGTGTGATGTTCGATGTACTCGTTTGTATTTTCCGAAAATGAGTATGGTAGCCCTATTTTAGCGTTTTGTCAAAACTTATATGATAACATATATCTGTAGGCTATATAGGTTCTAGCCTCAGGGGGTACATTCCCCATCTCGTCACTATACTTGTACCCCATCTTCAACCTAATCATCACTCATTCTTGTTGCCTCATCCTCTAACATGGTATTAAGAGCCATTAGGTCCTTAGGACCAGATTTTTAAAAGGGCCCACCGTTATTTCCTGCCCGAATCGCGCCCCTAGGCGCGTCACGGTTTTATCCTGCCCAAAACGCGCCCTAGGCGCGTCGATTTTTATTGCCTAGCCCCGCTGCCCCGCTGCCCATTCCGCGTGCCCCGCTGCCCTGCCTGAGCGCCGCCCTGCCCGCACGCGCTCTACTTGCAGCTGCGCCGCCCTGCCTGCCGGCGCGCTCTGCACGCGCACCCTGCTGCCCACCCGCGCGCTGCCCGCACGCGCTTTGCCGGCCCCGCCTGTGCGCTTTGCCCACCCACGCGCTGCCCTGCCCCGCAAACGCGCTGCCCGCCAGCAGCCTGCGCCCTGCCCGCGCGCACCCCACGCGCACCCTGTCTGCTCCCTGCCCGTCCGCGCTGCTGCTGCTGTCACTTCTGCAGCTGCTACTGCTGCATGCGCTACTGCTGCTGCTAAGCGCTGCTGCTGCTGCTAAGCGCTGCTGCTGCTGCTAAGCGCGCTGCTGCCACTGCTGCTACTGCATGCGCTGCTGCGCTGTGCCCTGCCCGAGCCGCGCCGCCCTGCCCGAGCCGCGCCGCCTTGCCCGAGCCGCGCTGCCCTGCCCTTGCTTAGCCGCACTGCCCTGCTGCTGCTGCTAAGCGCTGCTGCTGCTGCCACTGCCGCTACTGCTGCTATGGCTACTTCTACCTTGCTCACCTTTGATGCCGAGGGGAACCCGATCGGATTTGAGAACTGGCTCGAGGACTTAGAGTGGTTCCTTAAGAGCGTCACTAGGGAGGATATTGTCAAACTATAATTGTATAGTTTGTTAGTTTAGTCTAGGTGTTCTACATTGCGTTACATTTGTCCCAGCACTAGGGTTAGGGTTTGCTATATCAACCCTTGTATGCCCTTGATTTCATCATTCATTATTCCGTTACCTCGTTGACATGGTATAGAGCAGTTCAATTCCCATGGGCCCACCGCCCTGTGCTCGCCGTTAGTAACGCGTTACCCGTAGTGCCCCGTCACCCCTTAGCGCCAGCCCCCCACTCCCCCCCCCCCCCCCCCCCCCCCCCCCCGTCGAATCACGCGCTAGAGAGAGACCCCCGCGGGTCCCCGAATCGCGAGTTAGAAGGACCCCCGCGGGTCCCCCACGTCGCGACCTAGGAAGGCCCCCGCGGGCCCCCGAATCGCGCGCTAGAAGGACCCCCGCGGGTCCCCCCACGTCGCGACCTAGGAAGGCCCCCGCGGGCCCCCGAATCGCGCGCTAGAAGGACCCCCGCGGGTCCCCCCCACGTCGCGACCTAGGAAGGCCCCCGCGGGCCCCCGAATCGCACGCTAGAAGGACCCCCGCGGGTCCCCCCACATCGCGACCTAGGAAGGCCCCCGCGGGCCCCCAAATCGCGCGTCCCTCCCCGTCGCGTCCCTTCCCCGTCGCCTCCCCGTCGCGTCCCTTCCCCGTCGCCTCCCCGTCGCGTCCCTTCCCCGTCGCGTCCCTTCCCCGTCGCCTCCCCGTCGCGTCCCTTCCCCGTCGTCTCCCCGTCGCCTCCCCTTTCCCTACCCGTCGCGTCCCCTCCCCGCCGCCCTGCAATCCGCCAGCTCCGTACGCCAGCCCCGTCGCGCCCCCGTCGCCAGCCCCGTCGCCAGCCCCGTCGCCAGCCCCGTCGCCAGCCCCGTCGCCAGCCCCGTCCGCCAGCCCCGTCCGCCAGCCCTGTCCGCCAGCCCCGTCGCGTCCCCTCCCCGTACGCCCTGCAGTCCGCCAGCTTCGGCTGCTACCAGCCCTCCAAGACCGCCCAGGACCGTCCAGGGCCGCCCTGGACTGTCCAGGACAGTCCGACAGTCCAGAACCGTCCAGAACCGCCCAGGACCGTCCAGGACCGTCCAGAACCGTCCAGAACCGCGTCCAGGACAGCCCAGAACCGTCCAGAACCGCCCAGGACCGTCCAGGACCGCCCAGAATCGCCCAAAACCGTTCAAAACCGCGAAGGGTCTCGAAACTACCCTTCACTAGGGCCTACACCAAGTGAAATGTTACACTACACAAAGTAATGTAACTATCTTCAATATCTTGAGGTGTACCCTTTTGGCAAGCTTCGAAATCACTTGAGGCTTGACACCAAGGCTCGGGCTCTTCATCACAAACTCATCCTTGAGTTCTTGATGGGTCTGCTGCACACACCTGCGACACGCCGAACGTTCGACACAGGACAAAATAGAAACCGCGCACGACAAAATAGAAACCGCGCGCGAGACACAAACGACCGCGTAACACGCGTCTAGCGATAACTCGCTATTGACTCGACACACACACTCGACATCATGACTCAACATTCACACACAATTATAAGCATGAAATATATATTATCCCATGCCCTCATACCATTCCATACACACACACATTCACGCACACGGACAACAAGCCGAGTGCAAACCGTAGGGTTGCACCAACACCACTCCCGACCGACACGCACTGGCCTCCGTGAAGGAGGAATTGCAGAGGAGACACACTTGCACTGACCTTGGTGAGCTGCAGCGCTACCTTGGCCTGCAGATCACCAGGGACAGGGCAACTCGCACAATTACGCTGACGCAGTCGCATATGGTCGAGCAGATCCTCACGCGGTTTTGCTTCCCGTTCTCCAAGGTAGAGCCCACCCCTCTTGCTGTGGATCATGGGCTCACGGCTCCACCTTCGGACGAGCCATTTGAGTCCACTGGTCCATATCCTGAGCTGGTGGGTTGTCTCATGTACCTGATGACCTGTACTCGCCCTGGCCTAGCTTACCCTCTTAGCGTCCTTGCGCGCTTTGTTGCGCTTGGGAGACACCGACCTTCCCACTGGTACGCTGCTAAGAGGGTGGCGAAGTATGTGGCGAATACATCAGGCATGGGACTTGTCCTTGGAGGGAAGCAGCCAGTTACACTTACAGGTTTCTCAGACTCGTCGTGGGCCGACGATGCAGAGTCGCTGCGGTCTACACAGGGTTACTGCTTCAGCCTTGGGACCGGAGCTGTTTCATGGAGGTCGACTCGGGCGTCGTCCATCTCTAGTTCCAGCTGTGAGGCAGAGGTGTGCGCTGCGGCCATGGCCGCCCAGGAGCTTCGCTGGTTGTCTTTCCTCCTCACCGACCTTGGTGAGCGACCTCGCTCTCCCCCAGTCTTGTTCGCCGACAACAGGTCCGCTATCCTGTTGTGCGAGGAGCCCGGACTGGTTGGGAAGGCGAAGTACATCCAGATTCGTTACTTCCTTCTGCGAGAGTTGCAGCAGCGTGGCCAGGCACGCGTGCGACGTGTGGTCTCTGAGGCCAACACGGCAGATATCTTCACCAAAGCGTTGCCGCCTTGTGACCACCAGCGTTTCTGCACCCAGCTAGGCCTTGTGTCTACCGGCCCGCACTTGCTTGCGTAGAGATGCTTTGTCTTGTCCTCTTGCATCTCACTATATCTCATATATATCTGCTTCTGGACTGGCCTTGTGGCCCCTTGCTTTCGTAGAGATGCTTGTCATGCATGTCTTGTATTCTTGCATCTTCTATATTTGCTTGCATGTGGACTGGCCATGTGGCCTCTTGTTTGTTCTCGGACTGTGTGTTGATCTTGAGATCCACCCCGAGCCTTGTTTTGTTCTTGTGAACTGGTCTTGTGACCGTTGCTTGCTCTTGCTGACTGGTCCTGTGACCCTTGATTGTAGACTATGTGTTGCTTTCCACAGGACTACCGTCACCTAGACTATGGGGGTGTGTCAAACTACAATTGTTATAGTTTGTTAGTTTAGTCTAGGTGTTCTACATTGCATTACATTTGTCCTAGCACTAGGGTTAGGGTTTGCTATATCAACCCTTGTATGCCCTTGATTTCATCATTCATAATTCCGTTACCTCGTTGACAGATATCTCACTGTTTGAGCATACCTCCGGGTCCCTCGCTAGCCCTACTGAGTCCACAGACCATAAA